CGACATCCTTTCTTTCAGCTCCTCTGCCAGGCCTATAAGGGAAGTGCCTAGAGAGACTCTAACACAAGCGGTCTCTGGATAACTTTCTAGACACTGACCAACAACCTCTGCCATAGACACACGTGGGTTGGGAGTTTCTCTGTGGTGCGCGCACTCTTCTCCACATGGTCTAGGGGTAAGGGCAGTTGCGACCCCTACCTGCGGTTGCCTTTTGCTGCCTGCACAACATACCGGGCCTCTCTATATTTGGGGCAATATTTAATGATATGATCCGGATCACCGCAATAGATGCACTGATCCTGGTCTATCCGCCTCTGCCATACTGTCTGTTTGAGACCCAGATCTTCCCAAGGCCTGCCTTGTGGCAAGCCAAGGTGCTATCCACCCCTCCTGGGAGGTGATCGAGTGGAACGCGGACGGTTTTGCGGGGCACCTTGACCCCTGCCTCCCTCTTGGTGTTTTCCTCTACCGCCAACCCCCTGATCGCCCTGGCCTCGACCACTAGAGGCCCGACCCCCTTGGCCTCGACCTCCTCCTCTTCCTTGCGGCCTCCCTCCAGCCGCGACAACGACATAAGTCCTCCCCTGAGTCGCACTGCTGTCCTCCTCCTCGAGGCCCCACTCAATTTGATTGTAGGGGACTTTCCATACCACCTTCATCTACATTAAGGATCAAATGATCCTTGGCCCTAACTTGGCCAGAGATGGTACGACCCTTCCACTTTTTACCCTTGTCAAGGTCCTTATGCCAGAAAGTGGAAACTGGCATGGACTGCGCTTCAAAAGCTACCACTTCCCTACTCAAGGTATTGTAGGTCATGGCCGGCTCCTTGCTCTTTTCGAAGAAGTGCCCGCTCAGCTGCTCGGGCATGGCACGATAGAATAGGTTGACCAGTTGGGTCTCAGTGACCCCATGGTCAGGAACATCGACTAACTCATCCATTACGCCGTTGAGTGCCCTAACACTCCTCCATAGGCGAAAGTGGATTGTTTGCAACTTGTCAGAGGCCCTAATGCCTCGGGTGACATCAACAAACCTTTCACGGAGCAGTTTGAAAAACTCAACGAGGGGGGTGATTTTGGAATACGCTATCATATTATTGTCACACTGGGCAGCACGGGAAAACGATCTGGCGAAGCTGGCTGCTTCATCTTTGAGGGCATGGAAGGTGATGAGGTATGATCTTCTGTAAGCGAACGTACGAGTTTGACGTTCGCCTCCCAGTTATCAAAATTCTCTTCCTTCTTCCCGCTATAGGGATCACGAAACTTAATCTTAACTGGCTCTCTACGGGGGCGAGCTTCCTCCTCCTTTGGAACAACAAGCTTGGCGCCTTCTATGGCGCCTGTGCAAAATCGCTCAGTGCTTTCTATCCTGGCCATCACTTATGTGCCCACATGCATCATCATTTCGCGTGCAAACTCTCTAAACCCCAGGCGTATGGATTGCAATGCGATATCCTCGCCCCTAACCAACTGATATTGCTCCTGCTGGGCCTTTGCCAATAATCCTATATTCCTAGCCATAATCTCCATCTTCCTTAGCACGTCCGCCTGACCTTCCATTTGTTGTCTTTGCTCCTCCACCACCTTCAATTCCTTCACCACCCTATCTGCTGCATCCAATCGTTGCCTCATTTCTTTTGCAAGGCGCAACTTCCACTCCAACTTCTTCTCGTCCTCTATGACCTGGCGGCGTAAGGGGTCTTCTTCTTCCTCTAACTGTTTCACCACCGCCTCTTGTTCTGCCCTGGGGACATATAGCATCGCTTCCTCTTTCTCTCCCAGCGACAAATTCGCAACCTACTCTGAAATCTTTTTCTCCACCCACTAGTCCTCCTGCTTCGTGGCGCTCGATTCTCTCCTTTCCCTTCTGGTCCTTCTTTCTAAGGGGACTTCCTCCTCCACTTCCACTTCCTCTTCTTCTACCGCCTTCAACTTCTCCTCCTCTTCTTTTTTCAACTTCTCCATCTCCTCCTCCAATTTCTTCTGCTTCGCCGCTTGCTTTTCCAGCAAGGCCAACTTCTTGGCTTGTTTAATCAAGTCCTTAGCCTCTTTCTCTTTTCTTTCTTTTAGGACGGCAACGACTTGCTCTTCCTGAGCCTTAGTGTACGGGGTGGTGCTCTTGCCACTACGCAGGTCAACCATGGTGACAGATGCACAACTGAGTGACAGTTCCACTCCTCACCACTTAGACTTCCACCCACTGACTGACTTAACTTACTTACTGACTCTCTAAGGACCACATCGCCTTACCCTTTGATCCAGCCAGGTTACCACGGCCGACGAAAGCTTTTGCCACCATTGTCCTTTACAATGCAGACCCAGATGCCCTGCACCTGTGGTCAATCCCACCTGGCTTTCACTCCGGTTCAGGACCTGTCAACTAGGGTCTCTAGCCTAGACCTATTACTAAGCTGTCACTACAGGACTTCAGTGCTGATCAGGAGGCATTTAAGGAGATCCCCCATAACTCCTTAGGACTTGTTTAATGTTGCAAACAGGACGACATGATCAGCAAGTCCTCTCAACACTTAGACAACTGGTTGTGCAGCCCACAACTCGGATTTTGGGCCTACCATGCCACACTGAGCAGCCCGCCGCTCTGCCGGTCCTCGGGAGGGTTTGTCCTCCGGGTCAGTCAGTCGTCAGACACGGCCTTTAGCCCTACTCAGCCCGTGTGGGTTTGGTCAACGCAGCTCTACGACCTCATGCACGGAGTTCCTATCACCTGGACAGAATAGACTCGATGCAGAAAGAAGAGACAAACAGACTCAGCAAGTACCATGGGGTGAGTGCACATCCATAGGGTGAGGGGATAGGCTGAAGGCTTGGCGAGAGTATACCAACTCCAGCTTGGTCAACTTCATGGTCAACAGCTCCGGTCAACACCCTGGTGAACACCTCGATCAACACTTGTCAACGTCCCGGTCAACTCCGATAAACTCGCGGTCAACGTTGGTAAACACCCCTGTCAACGTTGGTAAACTCCCCGGTCAACGATGACAAATGCCCTGGTCAACGCTGAGTATGGCTGTCAACCCTCTCTCTCTCACCTTCTTTCACCTTCTTTCACCCTCCTCCTTCTTCAGCCTCGGCTATGACTTCTCTCTCATCCCTAGTCTCTTTCTTCTTCATCCCCGTCTTCGTCTCTCCTTCCTCCTCTGCTTAACTTCCTTATCCTCTTCTAGTCTTCTTCGTCTTCCTCTTGTTTCTTCGTATGTCCGAGCTCGGCGGCTATGGCCACCACCTCCTATCTTAGACC